CAGAAGGAGGCAGCCTGGACTCTGTCCAACATCACAGCAGGGAAGGATACGCAGATCCAGGAGGTCATCAACACAGGCCTCGTTCCATACCTCATCGATATGCTTGTGCGGGTATGTGTTGGTTGACTTGTTTCATTCACTGGGGGGGTGGGGCTATATCTAATTTAAACTTTACCAGCACAATGCTCTGAAAGGCAGATGCCTACATTAGTGCAGGGTGTCTGCAGGTCCTTAAAATGTCTTTATATTTGGTCTATTAACGCAGTGGTTTGCAAATTTCCCACCTACAATCAAGCGATCCATCACCCCACTCACAACTTTCTCCTTTCTAAATGTTATCATCCCTCACACTGGCTGCCAATCAGGGCTTCTGATGTGACAGAAGCCAAAAGTGGCGTGGATCAAAAAATATTCGACAAGTTCTACAATCAGGCTCCACCTCACCATCTGCATCGCCAGTTTCCAGACTCCAAAATGTTCATAAGCAGGAGTCAAAGTTTCTCCCATCAAGTCTGTTTTCATAGATCGCAACTTTTGCATTGGAAGTGGTGTACGCCTCTTTCAGGCCTAATTTGTGTGTACACAGTGTTTATTAATGACACCTCTGGTCTGTTTGTTTTGGAGAGGAAGAGCTCTCTGTGGATAATTCAGCTCCTGGTAAAAACCTCCTGAACAAAGAATACTGAAGGAATTCTAACTGGGAGAAGTTTCAGCAGGTTGCAATCTTCACCGCGATGCCACTAATCCCCCTAAATCTGACCCACTGCTCCGTTTTTAAAGCATTAAATTTAGTTGTTTGATACCTGCAGACCTTTCTCTAACTTTCCAGGTCATGTCTATGTGGCTTATCTTTTCTTCTTTCCTCTGCAGGGTGATTACAAAACTCAGAAGGAGGCTGTTTGGGCTGTTACCAACTTCACCAGTGGGGGCACTGTTCAGCAGGTGGTTTACCTGGTTCAAGCCAATGTGCTGGAGCCTCTTCTGGATCTCCTCTCCTCTAAGGACAGCAAAACTGTCCTCGTCATCCTGGACGCCATCACCAACATCTTCATGGTGCGTGCATGAACAAATAAAGATGTGTGCTATCTGTTTTGCCATTCTGAACGGTCCAGTTATTATTAGATGTGACAAGATGGATGATGTGTTTTCCTACCAGGCCGGGGATAAAATCGGGGAGTCAGACAAGCTGAGTCTAATGGTTGAAGAATGCGGCGGACTGGACAAGATCGAGGCTCTGCAGTCTCATGAGAACGAGATGATCTACAAAGCATCCCTCAACCTGATTGAGAAATACTTCTCTGACGAGGTCAGTGTCTCATGATATCTGAATTGATTTTAACATAATGTTTTGTGCCCATGAATGATGTCAATGTTTTTATGTTTCTGATCTATACAGGAGGAGGTGGTGCAGTGTGTGGCCCCCGAGGCGACCACCAACAGTTACGCCTTCCAAGTCGGAGAAGGCCAGAGCACTTTCAATTTCTAAATGACTAATACCTCATCTGTACTGTACCCTCACTGCTACTGTCTGTCCTTTATTCATGTGATCGTAGAGTCCTGTGGTTTTTGTATGTATTGTACATACTGTTTTAATATGACAAAACATGGTTGTAAATAAAGTTGTCAGATCATGTGTGGTGGTTTGATGTTTAGGGTTATATCAGTCTGTGTGTTTGCATAATTGTTATAAATGGTAGAAGTGTCACTGTGGTTACTGAAACATATCTAGGAATTCACCTTGTGTCACAAAAGGTAAGTCTCAAGAATAAATCATCTCAAAATTATGAGAAATCTTGAAAAATGTCTCAAAATATTGAGACCTTTAAAATAATGACTTTATTAAAATAAAACTTTACAAAGAAAATGACTTGATATCTAAAGATGATAATGAGAAACTTCATCAAAATATTTCAAAAATAATGAGACATTCTCAAAGTATCTCAAATGTGATAAAGAAAACTGACTTTTCTCAAAATGAATAAATATCCCAAAATATTGAAGTATGGGAAATAATGACTTTTCTCAGTCTGCTTCTCAAATTATGAAACTTAATGAGTTGGTATTGCTTCTCATTATTTTGAGATATTAAATTATTTTTGATAGACCAATTATTTTGTTTTCTTTAGATGCTAACTCAGTCTTTTTAGTGAGTTTCTAATTAAATGACTTACAGGATTTTTTTTCCTTCACACTGGCAGAAACAGGTTTCCAAAGTAATGTGCTGCTCTCAGCGAAGAGCCTGGCACGTAACCCTTACCTTAAGTAAAAGCACTGTTATGACTATAAAACATACTGTTCCAAATAAAAGTCCTGCATTAAAAATGTTTCTTAAGCAAAGGATAAAGCATTAAAGATAAAAGTACTGAATGCAAGTTGGAAGTTGGAACCATGAAATGTTTTTGCAAGAAAAATATGTGCTAGTTTTTAAATGTTTTGCATTATTTTTTTAATTTATTTTTTGTCAATTGATCAATTGATCAGCTGTGCTCATGAATGGATTACTGCACAGGTTCTGGCCCACTTAACACAAGAGTCACAAAGACGATAAAGGGATGCAAAGGAACTGCAAGAAGCCGCCTAATGACTACAAAGAGACACATCAAAAAACATCAACGAAAAAAGAGGCAAACACACCACAAAATCTGTCGCCCATTTTACATAAAGTTTGTGTTATAGGGCTGATACAAAGTCCCTTCTTTAAGCTGCCTTTGCATTTTTACACAGACCCAAATGGCACCATCATTCTGCTCCAGTGATTTTAGACAGTGTGCGGGCATCATGGAGTCAAGAGCCGTTGAACAGGGGTCCATGTCATTGGTTCGACAGCCCATTAGTCCGACTCTCCGCGGTGCTGAACGGCTTGCGGCGGGCGTATGGTGCGCCGCGACCGGCTTGAGGCAGAGCAGGCTCACGGCTTATGTGTTTGTCACTTTCTTTTTCATTTTAACCCACACCATGATCTTTTCCTGACCCTAACCAAGTGGTTTTTGTGCCTAAACCTAACCAGACCTTAACCACAGGGCATCATGATGATTTCGGAACGGACTTTGGAACAATGGGTTTAATATGGTCGGACCAATGGGATGTCCAACCAATGGGCAGTTCCCGTTGAACAGTATGACATGTAACACAACAGCGACAGCCCCCATGTGACATAAAACATACGCGTTGGCAGCACTTTATAAACAATAATAATGACATAACGTGTCAATAACTATCTCTGTTATATGGCAGCTGAGTTCATCCTCTGCTTAGAGGATAAGGAGCCTCACAGTCTCATTGTTTTCCCAATTTGCAGACATTTACGGCAGCTAGTCTTCATCTGTGAGTTAGCTGCTAACTGCTATCAGCTACTTTTTGAATCTCCCACGGAGGTGGGTTGCACACATAGCACATCGTCAAAATGTCACACCTTTGGTGCCCATGATCCCGTCCTGCCGGCTGTCCTGTTTATACATGTTTCAGCGCTGTTACTGTCTCCCGTGGCGGCTGAAAGGCAAGTCAACTCTGTTCCCCCATTTCCACGATTGTACTTTATAGACAGCAGGTATAACAGCCCAATATTCCCGCCTTGAACACGCGGTAGCCCCTTTACACTGTGCTGTATAAGGAATGATCATGAGATGGGGGACTGAGGTGTCGTTCTGAACTGGGAACAGAGGTAGAAACAGTGCCTAAACAATGTATAAATGGAACAGCCAGCCAGAGAGGATCATGGGCGGCATGGGTGTAAGGTTTTGGAGACGTGTTATATATGCAACCCACCACAGGGGGGGATTCAAAAAGTAGCTGACAGTAGCTAACGGCTAATTCAAGGAGGAAGAACAGTGGCGGAATAATGTCGGCAAATAAGGAAAACTGGGGGGCTACTTACCCTCCGAGCAGAGGACGAGAACAGCCGCCATGTAACAGAGATAGTAAATGACTGTTAATGCCACATTGTGCCATTGTTAGGGGCCGTACACATGCCGCATTTTTGCACCCTCGAATTCATTGTCTCCAATGTAGACGTGAGCGGTGTTGTCGCAGCGCACACACGTTCCCGAGCACCCTGAGAAACAGAATTCAACTTTTGGAACGCACTGCATGTTATGTGACGAGGAAAAAACAGTCACAGCCGACAGATACCTTAACCATCTTCCATGAATATCAGTCTGTGATAAATTTGGAAAAGTTGATGATGTTAGTGCAGGGCTACCCAGAGCTTTACATCTGTCCCACAGACGATATAAACAGCTCCTGGAAGACGATCAGCTCTGCACTCAGGTTTTCAGGTAAATAGGCTGTATGATGCTTGTTAAGCAACCTCAGACGCAACCTGCCGCCGAGCTCTTAAAAGCTGGCACAGAGAAGACACAAGAGTAGCACGCAGCACCCGATCTCGTGTTCCCCAGGTGGTTAAAGACCCAGTATGTGTGCCAGCCCTTATTGTTTATAAAGCGCTGCTGACACATGTTAAATGTCATACTAGAGGCTGAAGCAGTTTTGTTACATGTCATGCCTCTTCTGATCCCACAATGACGTGACGCTGTCTAAAATTACACACAAGAGCGGAGTGATCCCATGACCGTTTTGTCCTGTGTATAAATGCAACGGTGGCATAACTTAAGGAGTTTGTAGTGCGACCTCTGTGTAAAAGGGGGCTCGCTCCAGAGTAGGAGAGGTGGTGGGGCCCGCTGCATATTGGTGCCCGGGGCCCCTTTGTCCCATGATCCGGCCATGGCTGCACTTTTGTGTGCGGAAAAAAACAGAATTTGTAGAGTAAATAGCAGACTGAGTAAAGTTTAAAATAACTAGTGCAGTGAAGTATTTCCCTCAGAGGTGTGGTGCAGCAGAAGTAGAAAATTGCATGTGATAAAATACTCAATTCCACCTCTGATGGCATCAAAGTAAAAATCAGGACAGCTCAGGACACACTGGGACGTGTGTGTGTGTGTGTGTGTGTGTGTGAAGTACAGTGAGGTGCCACATGTTGGAGAAATGTTTCACTCCCCCAAAGCGTGCTGTCGTCACCGGTCAGCTCCAACCAGCAGCCCCCTGAAGTGGGCTCCACACCGGAGGGCTCAACAGTTGAACTGTCGACGAGCTGCAGGAGAGGAGGACTCGGTCCGAGGCAGACTGCTGCCGAAGATGTGAAGATAAACACGGCGTTATCTCCACAGCAGCTCCTTCACACGTCTCACCGGGGACGAGTCGTCTCCAGTAGATGCACTTTGCAGCTCTGCTACACCCCACATATTTTAATTTTTTTTCTGTTTTTCTTTTTGATTTTTTCGCATTTGTGAGCGATCGCTATGGCACTTCAGTTCACATCCGGGCCACAATGCCTTGACTCCATTATTGTCTAAAACTGGCGGAGAGGTTGATAAACCTTTATTTTTTATTTCTACACCTGAACGAGACATCTTTCTAACGAGCAGTGAAGGCTGGGACCGAGAGGACATGTCTAACCAAGGAGTCCGGCGGAATGGCCCCGTGAAGCTGCGACTAACAGGTAGCTAGCAACGCTTTTAAATCCCCAACTATATTCCCCACTCACACTAAGCTAGGAGGGCTCCGTGTACTTGCTGGATGGGAACAGTTCCCATGGGCCATGGAGTTGGCTTACCGCCGGTTCCTTCTCCTGTGATTTAAACCATTTTGCTAACCGCTACAATGCATTTTAAATATCTGTTTATTTTTTTTTTGTGTTAGCTAATAGTAGAAAACTGAGCGGGTTGACTCGTAAATAAAGCTGAATTTTGATATTAGTGTTCTTGGAAGTAGTCAGAACCCTGTGATTGTCGCCAACCACCAGCCATAACACGGATCCCGGAGTATCGTAGCTACACACTGTGCTGCTCTGCTGTTGAGAGGGTTGTCGCTTGTGAAACCAACATGTAGCACAGTATCTTTAATGTGTATTTAAATTAAATATATATATATATAATTGTAATATAAGAGTGGCACCTAACTATCACAGTGTCCTGCTGACAGAAAGCAGGCTAGCCGACGTTAGCTTAGCCAGCTAGCTGTGCTGGAGCCTGTAGGCTGGGATGACAGGCAGCTCCACAGGTCACAGGAGAGTGTAGCTAAGCAGTGTCCCACAGACAGACAGGCAGCTGCCTCCTGTGACTGTTACTGTGGTGAAAACTGGTCACCATTAACTTGTATTCCTGCATCCCTCCCACAGCACTCCTGCTCAGCCTCATAGTTTCACAGCATGATTTACTCCTCTCCTCCCTCAGTCCCTCAGCTGCTTGGTTTGTGCCTTTTCAACACAAACAGCCAAGAGGTTTACATGAGAGCTCAGTGTTTTGACTGGGAGAGGAAGCTGACAGCTGCCCCCTTTTTTGATGTACGCCCAGGACCTGACCTGAAATTCCATGGCAGCGGTTTCTACCAGGAAGGGCCAAGTTAAATATTTAAGCTGGTGCTGTGTCTGATAGGGATCAGTGGAAACAACAAGGACAGATGTTAATAAGAGAGATTTAATGAGCTGGAGGTGCGAGATGGCCAAGGACATCAAGCTCAAGAGCTACGGTTTTATAGTCGGCAGAAGTCAGACAGGGTTCAGTGCAGAGTGAGCACAGTTTTGTGCAAAAAAATTGGTACCTGGTGTTCATAAAATAACATTTACACAGAGGTGGGACCGATTGCAAGTCACAAGTTAGTCTTTGCACTCAAGTCCCGGATAGGGCTGCAGGGATATATACTGGTTTTAAGGTATACCATGATAGAAAAGTTGACTTTCTTGTCTATGATGCTGAAAAAAACAAATGTAGTTTGACAGATAATCTCCCCTTTATTTTATTTATTTCCAAAGGGGAGAGTTTGTGCACAAACTTGCATCAACAAAGTGGTTTCTGGTTTGAATTATAGTCATAACACCATGAAACCATAATCTTCTCTGAGATGGTTCTCACACTGTGAATATGTCATACCGTTGCAACACTAGTCCCAGGTCAAGTCCTAAATAGGGTTGCAGTGGTTTAGCGTGGACGTGTGTATCATGGTATAAAAATTGAAGGTTGACATACCGTGTATATTTGCTTATCCACGATATTGTGGGAAAAAAGTCAATAGTAATAATAGTGTAATACTGCCATATATTGAAACTGTGATATTTTCTGAGATGGTTATCATACAGTAAAAATCACATACCGTTGCAACCCTAGCCCCAAGTCAAACAGGCAAGTCCCAAGTTGAGCCTAACGAGCTTGGTGTCACTCCAAAGTCGTCGAAATCCGGCGCTTGAGCAGTGACTTGTGGCGTCAGAAACCAACGAAAAAGGTGTCCTTAAACGTTGACATGATTCACTGCCAGTTGCCATTACAGTTAAGCGGCATCAGGAGGAAACACAGCGGGACATGGACGAATGTTAAGGCCATGAAAGTCCGTCTGGGACAGGAGTGGTGGTGGATGGGTCCAACAAACACCGACTTTCACTCGTGACAGCTATGTTTGCACCCTGTAAGATTCTGAAGCCAAACCCTGTTCTTTCTTCCTACACCTAACCATGTGTGGTTGTCGTTGAAAGAAAAAAAACATCAATTTGCAGTGGTGTACTGACGTAGTGCTTTTAAGTTGAAAGAGTCTGTATGTAAATGTTAAATTTCCTGTGTAAACAGAAGTGTATTTTGAAAGAAGACAATGCATGTAACAAGCTGAAGTTGAGAATGCGTCCCAGAACCAACAACAATCAACACACCTAGGGTACCTTGGACGTTGTACATGGACGTGGAAAGTCTGTGACCAAACGTCGGTATGTGACGAGGTCGGAGTGAGCATGTTTTGGACTAACAAGTCAAGTTTCAAGTCCTAAACTTTGATTTTCGAGCATTAAAAGAGTCATGTTGGGCGGCTCTGGCTCAGAGGTAGAACAGGTTGTTAGATCACCAGCTCCTCCAGTCTGCATGTCAAAGTATCCTTGGGTATGGGTGAATGTGACGTAGTGTTTAAGCGCTTTAAGTGGTCGGAAAACTAGAAAGGCACTATACAAGTGCGATGCAGGTCCATAATTGTGTAATACTGTCATATATTGAAACTGCGGTATTTTCTGAGACAGTTACCGTACAGTGAAAGGCTCATACCGTTGCATCACTAGTCCCAAGTCAAGTTCCAACTCCTAAACTTTAAGTTTTAAGCACTAAAGAAGTCATAATGTCAACAAATGTAGTGCCAATATTAAATTTACAAAAATCATGAATGCCTTTTGAAATTTGCATTCATTCACTTACTGTAGGCCAACTTTAGCTAAGCATTAGCTCGCTAACTATGTTAATATCAGCCTCAACTTACTGTTTTTGTGCAACTGAAGATGCCAAATGAAGTTGGAAGCTGGTGCTTCTTCGTCTATGATTTTCGACTCGCACATTTTGCATACTGCAGTTTGTTCTTTGCATAGTTTTTGCACATGAACAAAACTATCTTTGATATCAGTTTTTCCAACAGGCACTCAGTAACGTAACATTAGTTCTTCATGGTTCTCTCCTGCAACTCGTCTGGATGCTGTTGGGTTGGTTCAGATTAAGTGGATCTGGGGGGACTTGCTGGGGACATCTAGTTTTAATGTTAGTTGATCCGTGGCATATCATTTGAAGGAAGGTATTGAGAGTTTTCAAGTCCAACTGAAGTCTCGAGTCACTGGCGTTAAAGTCCAAGTTGAGCTTCAAGTCTTTTTTGCTTGTCAAGTTGAGTCATGACAGGAGTATGAACAGTATAAGTTTAAATAAAGATGTGTGCATAACTTTGATGTTGAAATCCAGAGTGTCTGCATTTTGAGATGGACCGCAGTGGTCCCCTGGTGGAATGCTGGGAATGTGAGTCCACTGTGACAAATAGCGGGAGCAGGACCTCACAGGCCATCTCTCCTCTTGATGCTGAGTGACACCGTGCACCCCTCCAGACTAAATATGTCTAATCTTTCAGTGGGTTTTTATATTAATCTTAGAAATCACTCCTCAGGCCATATTTCTGTCAGAATGATGTAATGTTGTGCCATGTCATCCTCACGGTCAGTCCCATCCCATAGCTGAGTCTCCACTACACACTGTCATTATGTGTTCCTTTGTTTAGCACCGCACAGCTGTGTATACGAGGCTGATTAGACTGCTGCATAGGGAGTAATCGGCCCAGAGAGTGTCATTGCGACATCGTAGCTGCATGTTGTCATCTGCAGTCGAGTTGATTTTTTGACACATGGCTCTGCAGATGAATTTGTTTCCAGGCAGGTTGTGAATGATGAGTTGCTACAGTCAAACAGGCCTGTAGCTGTTTGTGCTGTAGGCGTCTCTCCTCGCTGACAACCCCCCTGTCCATTTGAACCAGATGTTGCAGATGTTTGCCAACTATTAAACTGGAAAAATATGGCAAGCAAGCTGCTAAAACTAACACTCGGGGTGAGAATTGCCCCTTGACTACACGGGACAGGTTTCCATTATGCTCTACAGCTGATCACTCCTAAATTATGTGACATACAAACACAGCTAATGGCATAACACGCGTGATCCACCGGCTCATAAATTACATCATTGCAGCATGGCTCATTGCTTCGTCTGATCATTCCTAAATTCTGTCGTGCAGACATAGCTCATGGCATAATTTGCACCGCTTTCCATGCAACCATAAATTTGATGACACGCAGCTGAAGTCACAGAGTTCCCTCTAATATGATTGAGACTTTGCAGAAAAGGGAACGCATCTCTCCGATCTGTCGGTGAGTCACGAGCTGTCTGTCACACACGAGTGAAATCAGACTCCCGAAAATCAGTGCGAGTCACTGGCGTGCTGTCTTTGCCCTTTGAATAGATTTTCTGCCCAGGAAGATGTGCAACAGAATAATAAACCAAGTGACGTTTGATTGATTTTCTGGTCTGATTCAGATTCTTGACGTTTATTGCCCTTTTTGTCTCAGCTCGGAGTTTACATGTGACTTTGTTAAGCATATGGTTTGCTCATCTGAATTCTTTGGCGTGCTGCAGACCAGCAAAGAGAGCTATCTCAGTGGGATTCCCTTGAATTCTCCATTCGCATTCCCACCTCTTCCTCTCTGAGTCACTCCTGTTCTTTCCGACTGTAAGCCTCTTCCCCCTCAGACAAAGTCCAAAGCATATTTCACTCCCACCCTCACTAACCGAGCTTCCTCCGCGCGCTCTGATTCCCTTTCTGTCCGATGCGCTCTCTGTAGGTAGTTGTTTCTTTGCGGTTAATCAGCTGCTGTTGCAAATTAAAAGGATCTGCTGGAGCTGCAGCCGATTCTCCAAACACAGGGGCCGGCACTATTATTTCTTTAATTAGATAGTTGCAAATTGTCCCTTTTCCCTCCCCTTGTAAGATGACTGGCAGTTGAATGGACACAGATGCTGCTCGAGAATGAAACAGACTTATTTTGAGGATGCAACAAAGGCCCCGGGGTTTCACACTGGCCCACTGTTTTGAGTGAAAGGCTTAGGTCTCTCCTTTTTCAGTCCGCGCTTTGTCAGTGCAGCTCGGTCTGACTGTAGTCTACAGATG